ACCTGGGGCCACACTCAGCGGCCCCGCTTTGGCGAGACTGGACCTGCCTGTGAAGCAGGGATACTTGCCTTGCGGGTCTGAGGGGGGTGCAAGCACCCAGCCTTGGGCCAGGCCCGGAGTCTGGTCTGCCCTCGAGGGGCTGTTGGGCGGTGGGAGGTAGCGCCGATCACAGGCCAGGCTCTAAACTCAGGGGGAAGCCTGCGGGGTTAAGGGGCCAGAGCGGAAGGGCAGGGAGGGTGTGGGCGGGGAATGGTGGGGAGCAAGACCCCTGCACCTACCTCCCTTACCAGGGCACTTAGATTCCTGGGGTTTCTTGAAGTGCCTGAGGGGTTCACAGACACCCGAAAGGTTTTTCATCTTTATCTTAATCCTCGTGTTGATGATACATTTATTTTACAATGGTGCTGAAAAGGGAATTCTTTCGGTGGTTGCACCCAGGCTTTCTGCAGCCCCCACCCAGGTACAGGTGCAGTGGAAGGGAAGCAGGAGACTAACCCCCAGAGACCTTTTCCAAAAAAACAGAAAGCGCCCCCACCCTTAGGGCTGCTCCCGCGACGCCCCAGCTCCGCCCAGGGGCCCTGCAAGGCCGGCACGGAGACCCCGCGGCCTCCGACGGGGCGCGGCTTTCCCGGGCTCGGGATGCCACCTGGTGGCCGCGGCGCGCACTGCGGCCCCCGCCGGGCTCATTTCCCTGCGCACGTGGGCCGCGGGGAGAACAGGAGTTTCTGGGGGAAAGTCGATGTTGGGCACTGCGGACGCCCACCGTGTAGGGACGGAACTGAGGCTTGGGGCCGGACAGACCTACCTGGAGTCCGCTCCTGGTCCAGTGCTTTCCTGCTGTGGGAACTGGAGGGGGTTTCTTATCTGCTAAGTGAAGATATCAGTAACACATGCTGGGATGGCCGGGGAGAACAGGAAAACTCGCCCAGCTTGGTGCTTGGCACCTGCTGTCACCTTTAAATTGATTCCTGTTTTCTCACTGAAGTTTATTTCTAAAGATAGCCTTATCCGAAGCACCTGTTTTTGTTTTTAATCCATATTAAGGTATATACGTCGGTACTGAAATTAGCAGAATTTTCCTCCGTACACCACATTCAGCAACGGGAGGTCATGGCATCCGGTCTAGAACCGGTGCCTGCCCAGGCGCCCCTCCCCCACTGCTCTCCTTCCATATTCCACCCACAGTAGGTCCTCACCTGTCCCGTCCTGGAGCACAGCAACACCAGGGGAACGAAAAACCCACTGGGTTTTTTTTCCTCCTTCAGGTTATACTGTTTGCCTAATATAGATCTGAATTTGGAAAAAATGTATTTCACTGTCTCTAAGGTTATATACCCTTTTCATTTCCGATAATTTCAAGAAGAGAAAAACAAAACTTGGCAGAGGCCAAGGTGGGTAAACGCGTTGTGTATTAAGATCGGAATGAGCTCCCAGTTTCTGGACTCAATACAGCAGGAGCCTGTTTCTTGCTTTTTATTCAGCTCCCTAACAAGACAGATGGAGTTTGCTCTCACATTCATGTTGTTCCCCCTTACCCAAAAGCACACCGGTTCGGCTGCTGATCTTAAAATGAAATGTTAGAACTGTGTATGCTTCGTGTACCCAACATTATTTTTGGAGATCTGAATGCCAAAACAATGTCTAGAGTCAACGTAGTCTTGCCACCCTGTCCCTGGGTCTCTTTCCACTCACCATAGATGTCTGAACCACACAGTGACATTTCTGGCCAAAGTGATTTATAAATACACACAGACCAACACTGTGTTGTGATCTGCAGTTTAGTAAGGCAAGCATCAGTGATAATCCTAATCTAGGACCATTGTTAGGGATTATTTAGCAGAGAGCTCCCTCTGCATGTGACTAGTCACGTGCTCTTTTTAAACGCTGCTGGACGTTACCAGCGCCAGGATCCAGGATCCGCTCCCCACCGCCCATGAGGCAGTCCTGGCTCTCTGTAGGTATCCCACTTCTCTGCATGGAAATAACCTTACTGCTTTTGTTGACTAAAAACTAATTCAAATCTGTTTTTTAAAATTCTGGCAATACACCAATGTGTTTGAGAAGAAATGAGAAGTTCCATAGCCTCATCCCAACCACTATAATTCCAGTGTTTGTGGGAGATGCTTCCCTGCAACCTCAGGCTGACTTATTAGTTCCAGTGTCAGACCAGGCCAGCCTGGCCCAAGCTTAGCAAAGGTGACCGCTTCCCTCTACAAGGACGTTGAGGCTGTAGTGAGTAGAGAGAAAGCCATTCAGGTATTCAGGACCTCTTAGTACCTACTCCTTGATGCCTAGAAACGGGAACTGATACACTCCAACAGAGTTGGTTGTTAAGCTAAGTAAGTAATGGGCTTGGGGCCTCAGAACTGGCTTTAGGAAGAGGTTGGCAAAACCCAAGTTCCTGCCACTGACCCAGTCATTGTCCAGGGAACTATTCCTGCCCCCACGCCCAGCTTTATAGCTAAGTGACTGCTTCAAATTCTCTTGCTCTTTAGAGCCCATCTTACCATGATTCATGATCTAAAATAAGGAAGTCCAGGAATGATCTTGTTTTCTGATCCTGGATTCCCTAGGCTCTGGATGCTCCAACTTTTTGAAGCCCCCGTTTCCCACCCAACCCTACCAGGATTATACCCCAGACACTGCAGACTGAGATGCCCGTGGGTCAGGCAGGAGGCAGAAGCCAGTGTGGCAGATTGGAAGGTGCAGGTTCAAGGGGGCACCTGTTTCCTTGTGGAACTGAAGGCCCAGTGTTGCCACTGGGACTTTTTCTCTTTTATTTTTTAATTGATTTATTTTTAGAGAGACGGGAAGAGAGAAAGAGAGGGAGAGAATCATCAATGTGAAAGAGAAACATTAATTGGTTGCCTTTCTCTCATGCCCCGACCAGGGACTGGACCCGCAACCCAGGCATGTGCCCTGACCAGGGATTGAACTGGTGGCCTTTCGGTTCACAGGCCAGCGATCAACCCACTGAGCCACACCAGACAGGGTGTCAGCTGCCCTCTAACAGAGGTAAGCTCTGTCCTGGCCGCCCGCAGCTGGTAGCATGCCTGCCACTGGCCGCACCCTTGCAAGCACATTCTGTTTCCCCCAACTTCCAAGGCGAGGCCAGCCTGGGAGTGGTCCGGAGGTCTATAAAGGAATAAGTTGGTTAGCAATACTAGAAATTGTTCTTCCTAGATGAAATATCAAAAGAACCAGCGATAAAAGGCTCACTCTTCTAATGTGTGCACTTTGCTAAGTGGTGAAGTGTCTTACTGGACAATGACTGTTCTGTTGCCTTATTATCTCCTCACGTAGTGGAGCAGCCTGACTCAATTATCACCTAGGAGGAGGTGCTGAGCCTGCTGCTGACCTTAGCCTGGGAGGGGACGGGTTCAATGAGGGAGAGAAATGTCCCAGTTTAGTGGCTCTCATCCCCTGGGCAGCTTTTCAAAACTCCAAGGGCCCAGCGATCCACATGCTAATTGAGGTGATTCACATTTGCAGCCAGGGTTGAAAGGCTTGCTGGGTGGTCAGATAATTAAAGGGGAGACCTTTACCTTTAGGCCAAGGAAGAGTCATTCTTGAACATTAGTTGGTGTCTCACAAATGAGGAGGGTCTTTTTCACTTCACTTTTTCAGTTTTCAGGAAATGAGCTAAAACCAGGCTGTTCAGAGGTCAAAACAGGAACAAAAATCAAAGGGGAAAGGTAAAGCTGTCATCCCAGGCTGTCTTAGCTACCAAAACGACCCTTGGGGGCAGTGGCCATTTCCCTGGAGTCCTTCATCTGGCCTGGCGCTCTTCCCTCCCCTCCTTTTGGCTCACTCCAGGGCTGGCGGCCCTGGAGGGCCTGCTGCCCCCTCCGGGACACTCAGGGTCAGAGAGGCTTCCTCGCATGCGGAGCCGAGCCTGGGCCCCACGGAAATCCGCTTCCAGTGGCTCCCTTTTTTAAGACAAAGCCCCAACTCCCTGGCCAGGCCCTTAGGGCACATTAGGTCACAGTAGCTCCTCTTCTTCCTCCTCGGCAATGGTCGGCACGCAGCGGGATAAAGACTTCTTTTCTCGGTGTCTTTTTCAGCTAAAAGAGGCCTTGGGACTCCACACTGGCCAGAAGGTCCTAAGCCGGAGTACCACATACACTTTTCTGAATTCTGTCCCCACAGGAAGGGGGACATAACTGTCTCTCCTCCAGGCTGGAATGAGAAGGGCATGGCTAGGGCTCCAGCTGCCACCTGGGTGCACGTGATAGCCCTGGAAATAGAAAGCAGGCCAGGGAACCACAGGCTGAGCGCCGAGGCCTCCGCTGTTGCAGTGGCCAGGCCTCCCAGCAGGACCATCTCCAGAGGCTGAGCCCAGGGGAAAAGACAAGCGTTCTGTTTAAGCCACTATTTTGAGAATTGCTGCAATAGCAGCCTATTCCAAATTCATGACCTCCCCCGTCACTGCCTCATGCCTCTCTTGTGTGACCCTGAGCCAAAGTGGAGTGATGCAGTGATGCAGGGGGTCAAGGGTAACGTTGCCTGTATGTGACCCTCGCCTTGGGGGCTGGCCCTGGAGTGCCCGCGGACTGACCCCCACGCTGTCCCCCTACAAGGCCACAGTGAGTGGTTTCTTGGTAGGGAAACTACTTTTTACATCACATTTCTAGCCCCTGGTACAGAATCTACTTATGTCTATACACACTGAAACCGGTTTTTCTGAAAGAAGCAGAGAACATCTAAAATAAGTGACGATTCAACGAGCCAATCCCAAGTCTGTGCCTGTCTTCCAAGTGAGCGCTAAGAAGCCCCCTCCCCAGAGCCTGGGTCGTGCAAATGCTTTCGGACGTTTCCCCATAGCCGGCCCAGGCCTGCCCTCATTCTCAAATGAGAATGGCGCTCTTGTAAGAGTTAAGAATCACTGCACTGATGATTTAAAAAGATCATTTTGTAAATCTTAAAAATTACTTGCTTTCCAGTAAGGTAATCACATATATACATACATATACACACACACATGCACACATTTAATATGAGCATGCTTTAGAAAGGAATAACGTAATCAATTTTTCCTGTCCTGGAAAGTAAAAAATGTTAACATTTAATGTACCTGTGAATATTTTCTCTACATGTTATAAGCTTTAAAAAAAACCCAGAAAACCGATTAAATGGGAGTCCTATTCTAGAAATACTTATAATGTAAACAGAAGATGCTATGATTAGAGCTAGAGTCGCTGACCATTTAAAATATGAACCCGGATCCAGAAATGGACACATTCTAGAAACTGGCTTGCGCTGAGCCTCCTGGCGGAGGCTCTGGGCTGCAGCTGGTAACTCCGGCTTCCAGCCGAGTGGTCGCAGCCATAGGTGCGGCTCTCTTAGCCTCGCTCATGCTAGTATCAGGCCAATAACCAATGAACTACTTTCGTCTCATTTAAAAAAGAGATATAATACACATTTAATTTCATTCCATAAATCAATTCCACTTATCTTTTAGAAAACTTAGGAGAAAGCAAACATTACCACATGAAAATGACACTGAAGATGCGCGCCACACCGGAGGGTAACAAGTGCCCGTGCGGCCGTCAGGGGTTGCAATTTAAACAAACCACAAGAAGGGAAGTCACATTGCTGTAATTTATTGCTGTGTCTATGCTTTCCCAGTATAGCTGTAATTTTAAGTAGCCACAAAGTGCCACCTTTTGGTTTAAAACTGTGCAACCCCTCCTCTCTTTCTTTTTAAATGCCATTTTATGGTGGATGTACAAAGCGACAGCAGCAGTTACAAAATGTTGTCTGAGTAATTCTGAGAGCTCAAAACAAGGATCTGTGTATAGGCTGAATAAAAAGATGTTCAGTTAATAGTGCACGCTGTGTAACTTTAACAAACATCTTTAGTTGGAATTTTTGTGTAAACCTTAATAGAGATATGACTCACGGAGACAAAAAGTAAAATATCTTCCTTTCACGGTTTAGTGAGCTGGTCTGCATTCTCGCAAACGATTTACAAAATACAAGAAATGTTCCATGTGAGTACTAGGCAGAAAATATTTCATTTTCTTACAGAGAAGCAGCAGAGGGACAGGGACACTAGGAGACACCCTGTCACCACCTTTCTCAAGATGCACACCCCCAAGAATGGCAGTGGAAACCTGGCAGCAAGCCACCCTTGCAATTCTTTTTGGTTGTTTTAAAATAAAAGCACTTTCAGACATTTCCCTCCCCAGCCCATGAACCCACCCTGACTCAGCAGGGTACAATCCCAGCTCCTCTTACTTGTTTTCCCCTTAGAATTATTTACAGGACGCCTACAGATACGGTACAAACTAGTATGAAATTAATGATAGTTTGCGTTCCCAGACTCGCTTCCATGGTTAAATAGGGACGCCACGCCGACTCCGGGGGTGGTTCCAAGTTAAGGGGACTCAGAGGCATTTGCATCCGTTACCGCAGAAGCAGGCTTCTCGCTGGCTGGGGTGGATTCGCTGACTCTGTCCTCCACAGTGACGGGTGCCTTGGAAGTTGGAAGCGTCACATCCAGAGTGAGTGCTGAGGCAGCGTCTGCCCTCGCAGTGGTCGTGACAGGGTCGGAGGGTGGGCTGCTGGTGGGTGGCAGGGAGGACAGCAGCTCCCCTGAAGCTGCTGTGGAAGAGACCTCTGGAACCAAAGGGAATGACGGGAGGAACTCGGACGGCATGGGAAGAGCTGCAATGCCAGGGAAGTTTCGGGAAGACAAGGAAGTCAGTGGCGGCAAACCTAGGGCAAAAATGGCACAGATCACACAGCCACACAGCACTGAGAGGGCAGCAGTCATCACCGCATGACTATTTTTATTTGCATTTCATCAAGGAAATTGAAGCAGAGGCGAGACATACAAATCACAACCTCAGCTCATCCTCAACTGGGGGCCAGGACAGAGTTAAACATAGGGTGAGGCAAAAGCAGGTTTACAGTTGTTCATATGGAAAATAATACAATAAATAATACAAGAATAAACTGCGTTTCACATAGTCACAACTGTAAACCTACTTCTTTGCCCACCCTGTTCTCACTGTAAGGCCAGCTCGCCCAGGAGGGAAGAAGCGATTCTCACAGTGGGGACAGACAGCAGCCCATCCAACAGGCAATGCAGCTACACTGAGTGTTAGACAGGAGAAGCCGGTGCGCCCAGGACAGCTCCAGGCTGCGTCAGAGCTGCCCTTCACGGACAGCAGGCATAAGAGACACGGAGCCAGCCCCCAGGGAAGGCCATGCTGGCTCTGCCACGGGGCCCCTGCACTAGCCTCACCGTTGGTACCCACCCTCTGCTCACGCCCCAAGACTGAGGACAACTACTTGTCCTTGGTGGATTTACTGTGATAATTTCAAAATGCACAATAAAGGAAAAGAAATTTACTTCTTTTTTTGAAAGATTTCACTTATTTACTTACTCATTTTATTTATTTATAAAAAGAGGGAGGGAGGGAGGAAGGAAGTAAGGGAGAGAAACCTCAATGTGTGAGAGAAACATTAATTGGCTGCCTCTAGCACTGGCCCCTGCTGGGGACCGAACGTGCAACCCAGGCACATGCCCTGACTGGGAATTGAACCATGGCCTTTTGCTTTGCAGAACAACGCCCGACCAACTAAACCACACTAGTCAGGACAAGAGTTTTACTTCTTTAAGAGATAAAGGAAGGGCAGCTTTTACAACAGGTTTGGGCAACCACAGGGCTGGTCAAACTCTCCATGCTCTTAAGAGTTGGTCTGCCAATTTGGGGAAACAGCAGAGGAAAAAACCAAGAATATAGGGAACAAAAGAAAAGACAAGACAATAAGCATTAGGGTTTACAGGAATTAAGAGTCAGCCCCGACATGCGGCCATCTCAAAGTCAAAGGTAACCTGGGTGATCATTAACTGGGAGAGCAAATTTGAGGGATACTCTGCTGCTTTGCTGTCATCAATGCATAAAATCTGAGCGTAAGCACTTTGAGTATCTGCTAACTACTTGCAGCTGAACTCTCCCAGTTTTTATTATAAAAACATGTTAATAATGGAGAATACTTATTAAGTAACAAGTATATGTTAAATAACGAGCCCAGCCAGCTAAGCAAGGGTGAGCGTGTCACAGCGTGTTGCTGGGCCTGGGCTACTACACAAGACAGGCACCATGGGGGGCAGTGCCCAAAACACAAGGGGAATCCCAGGACGTGCACTGACCCCCGCACACCTGTTCTTTGTCTCTACAAGTGGCCTTTATGGGGCTTGAGCCGTCACGGTGCAGGGAGAGGAGACGGGGAGGAGAGGCAGCCAGGCAGAGGAGAATCACAAATGTACACTTCTTCCTCTTATTTTTAAAGCTTTTTAAATAAAATAGTTTAATACTGATTTGAAACAGCTGAAGTTTATTAAACTTATCTGCCTTTTCCAGAAAGACTGAAATGAAGGACTGGCTTTCCTGGATACAGCTTTTATTAGACAAAGTCCTAGGGAGGCGAGATGGGCAACATACCTGGGTTCACGAGCTCTGGGAGGCTGACGCTGGGCAGGACGTGCGGTGTGGGGAGGTTGAGGTTGGGGAGGGTGGGCAGGTTAGGCAGTCCTGCTGGCAAAGGCATCAGACCTAAAGAGAAGGTGAGAACAAAAAGTAAACCAGTTGCCCTGGGGAAAACATTCGATGCTTATAGTGTGGAAGAAAGTACTACTTACTTCAAAGTGAGAAAACTAGAAGTCCAATTTGCTATGTAGTAGCTTTATATTATAACAACATTAACAACAAAATCTCACTGAAGCAAAATGTCTTTCTACACCTAAGTGACTAGATGGCTAAGTGAGTAAGGGTTACAACACATAGGAATACTTAACCCCAGAGCAAGAATGATGAATGAGGCCCAAGTGTCTGAAGAAAGGACTGATCTACCCCAGCAAGTATGGTAGTAAATGGAATTGAAATTTTCTTTGTTGGTTGAGTTTACTCTCTGGCTTTTCCACACCACTCCCCCACCCTTTTAAAATTCTGAAATAATTTCAGACTTAAGAGTTATGAAAATCAGTTGATGTCAAGAATTCCCATATATACATTTTCACTCAAATTCTTCAAATGTTAGTATTTCATCACACTTGCTTTATCATTCTTTGTGTGAGTACACACTTGCTTAATTGATTAATAATGGCTTAATATGTCTGTGTTAACATCTTAGCCATACAATTAAAGGCTCTCACAATGCAAATACATTTGATCACTGAAATAATATTTGATTGTTATTTACAGCATAAAGGAACGTGGTCTTCACTGGGGACAGTACGAGAAATAAACCAAAATCTAACATTTGAGCTACTAAAGACCCTAATAAGAAGTGCTCTCTTCTAGTGTATAATGTGTATTCACATGAACAACTACTGGAAAGCCCTAACTAAGGAAGTGCTGAAGGACCCAACTTTTACACACTCCTTACTCCTGCCTCCTGCTGCATGGGGGCGGGGGCGGGGGCTGGAGACAAGGCTGACGGGCCCGTGACTAACAGCTTACTGACTCTTGCTCTCCTTCATCACAAAGTTACAGAGGCAAAATGAGACTAAAAGACATAAAAAGTCATCACATAGGTGATTTTTTTCCATTGTTTTTTAAGATGTAAAATGTTAGCAATGCTATTGGTACGCACTCCTCTCGTCAGTCTCCTGCTGCTTACCGGGTAATGTAGTAGCTGGGTTCATTGACGGCACAGAAGCAAGGGACTGGTTTACTTGTGCTGGCAATAATGGTACTGTTGGTACACCTAAAATAAAAGCATAGTATTTTAAAAATGTGTAACAAATTCAGTTGACAAAGAAGAAACAGGCTCTATTAAGACAGTGTTCAGTCTCCCTTTCTCCCCCAGTGGCCAGGTCTCCGTTCAGTGAGACTCCACTTGGCTGGTCTCTGGCCGCCGCATGGCGCGTCACAGCCGGTTACCCACGCTGCCCACGGCCCCTGGCAGAGGCTGCTGATGGAGCCCAGGCCCAGCGGGTGCGGGGCTCTCAAAGCCGTCCCAGCTAGACTCACTGCATGAGAGGTTTATACTTAACCTAAACAAGGTTAGGTTAGAAAATGGTTTCTAAAAATTTGGAAACAGAACACAAATATTCTACAATTTTAAATAAATAAATAAATAAAATTAAAAAAAGAGAGTAATGGAAAGGGAAATAAAAAGGATTCTAGCCAATCTCTGCTGGTCTCTGGAAATAAGAAACCACGGGGACCTAGGGCTGTTGGGGGGGCGGGAGGGGCGGGCCCTGTGACCCAGCGAATGCCCCCAGAGGAGAGCCACGCACAGGGCCAGAGAGGCAGAAGAGCACGGAGCTCCAGAGGCGGAGGGAATGACCTGGCTTCCTGAGTCTCCACTGCCTTCTCACCGTTGGTTCTGTGACACTTCTTTGAAGTCCAGTACATTCCCACTTTCACTGATGTTAGCTTGAGGAGGTTATGTTCTTCTTATAGAAATAACTGTGACAATAATGCCTAATAGATAATTTCTCCTCATGCTCATCGCCTACTCTTAGGGAGGTTTTGCTGATGTCAACACAAGAGTAATGCTGCACACTGATTCTAGATTTTGTCTTACAGAGATCTACTTCAATACAGTAGTAGCAGGAATAAACTGTGCCCCAAAGTTTGAAGCAACCATCTTCAGGTATTTATTTATTAGTGTATTTACTTTCCTGCAGAAATTGGAGGCATGCAAAAGTAGAAGAGGGTTCCTTGCTTTTACCAGATTCTCAAAGCGGTTGGCTTTGGTGTGCTCATTGACTCAAGTTTTTTGGGGGGCACCTATTATATGTTAGACATTGTTCTAGACCCTAAGGTACTTTATAGCATAAAGAAAATAGGAGTCAGTACCTTCAGGAAAGTCTAATGAACATTCTAATGAAGGGCAGGAGAAGGAAGGGAGACAAATATCAAACAAGTAATATACATAGTACGTAAAATGGTATTAAGTTCTCTGCAGAGAAACTGAGCAAAGAGAGGGCTCAGGAATGGGGTGGGTGGGTGGGTGTGTGTGTGTGCGCGCGCAGGGGGGGTGTACTAAAAAGGCCACATTGATTAATGTCATTTCAAAATGATACATTCATTTTCTAAAATTCTCATAATCTAAAAATTATCAATCCTGCCCTGGCTGGTGTGGCTCAGTGGATTGAGTGCTAGCCTGCAAACCAAAAGGTCACAAGTTTGATTCCCAGTCAGGGCACATGCCTGGGATGTGGGCCAGGTCCCCAGTTGGGAGTGTGCGAGAGGCAACCAATCAGTATATCTCTTATATATTGATGTTTTTCCCCCTTCTTCCCTTTCCCTCTCTCTAAAAATAAAGAAACAAAATCTTAAAAAAAAAAAAAAATCAATCCATAAAGAGGTTATTTTTAAAAACCATGTACTTCTATATTTCTACAGTTACCGTTTGGGCTACTTTGCAGCAATATAATTAAAATCAAAGAGAACAATAAATGCCTGACAAAAAGTAGTTTTTCACATATTACGATGCTAGAACATTTGAGAATTTTTAAATTGAATTACTCAAAATGAAAATGATATCTTTCAGACTCTTTTGAGCAATTACTGCTTTATTTAAATTTGTGTCTTTCTTTTAATATTTAAGAAGCCATTTCTCTGTAGTGTAATAATAAGGCCAAGGATGTCAGTGCATGTGTTTATAAGACAATACAAGTGCAACTATAATGCAATAAGGGGAGATTTAAAAATGTCAAAAAAACAAAACTGGGATTTGGAGAGATGTGTTAGCTGTCCCTTAAAATCAGAAGAGCGCTCCTGAGGCACTGGAACACATACTCTAAAGCAGGTATGAGTTATTCAGACACAGATATAGCTGCTGCCTTGGGAAGTATCCCAACCCACCTTTACTAAGTCTATTCAGGAATAAACTATAGGAGCATTTGATGGGATATCAGAAAAAAAGTCATAATATCGTAAAACATTGCTTGAATGAAACACACTTTAAAGTCCTTTTTAACTGTACCTAAGGCTTGATATTGATTACATTAATATTTAATATGACCTAGGAAATGTTCTGAAACTGAATTGTGGTGATGACTGCACAACTCCATAAATTTACTGGAAGCACTGAATTGGATCCGCAGTGAGTTAATTTTATGGTATGCACATTATACCTCGATAAAACTGGAGCAACATTTAACAAAGAGCAGGGAGTGGGGAGATAGGTCACCATATTGATAATCAATGAAGCTGGATAGTAGGGGTTCATTATACTATTTTATCTACTTTCGAATATGTCTAAAATTTTTAATTACAAAAAATTAAAATGTAAAATTTCATCTAGAAAAATACGTATTTGGAAAATAAAACAAAAATTCCTCTAAAAGCTGGAATTTTAACTTAGGGGACCAACTCCAGAGATCATACTGTTGACCTTAAGTATATGTTGGTGGGCTGCTTTTAAAATTTTTATTTATCTTTATTTACTTATGAGAGAGGGTAAGGGAGGGAGAAAGATAGGGAGGAAAACATCCATTGGTTGCCTCTCGTACACGCCCTAACTAGGCACTGAACATACCACGTAGGCATGTGCTCTGACTGGGAATCGAACCAGTGACTTTTTGCTTTGCGGGACTATGCCCAACCAACTAAGCCACACTGGTCAGGGCTTGGTGGGCTGTTTTAAGTCCATGCCAGAACAAAGTGGCATATAAGCAAATTTTGAATACAAATATTAAAAAAAGTTGAAGAATGAAAGGTATTAATGAAATGAAACTAAACAATGTCAGTATTTAATTCACTTAAAATTTGAGTACATAATATACTCTTGGTATCACGAAGAAAGAAAACCAGAAAAATGAAAGATTTAAAAAAAGGAAAGAGAAAAATAAACTCTACAAACACACCAAGTTAAGAGTTACATCATGTATGAAACAATTCCATGCCTAGGCATATAATCAAGATAAATGGTCACATGTTGATGTAAAAAAAACTTGAACACCAATGTTCATAGCAGCATTATTAATAATAGCCAACAAGTAAGTGCACTTCAACTGATGAACAGATAAACAAAATGTGGAATATCCATCCAATGGAACAATATTTAGCCATAAAAAGGAATGAAGTATTAATATATGTTAGGTTATGACATGAATGAACCTTAAAAACATTATTCAAAGTGAAAGAAGCCAGTCACGGAATACTGCACATATTATATGACACGCCAAATTAGGCAGGTCCATAGAAAGTAGACTAGTAATTGCCTAGGCCTGGGGGGTTCGGTAAAGAATACAGAGTGACTGACAGTGGGTACCGGGTTTCTTCTGGGGTAGTAAAATGTTCTAAACTCTGCAAATATACTAAAAAACCCGCACTGACTTGTATACTTCAAATGAGTGAAATGGATGATAGGTGAATTATATCTTGATAAAGCTGTTAAAAAAAATGGAAACAAACAGGGACTTCTATGCATCAGGTAGACCAGGGGTAAGGAAAGTAGACAGGCGCGTGTTTTCTGAACGAGACTGAGCCCCTAGGAAACGAAGGGTATCCTGCTCGCTTTTGTGCCCCCAGCGTCTACCGCCTAGGAGATAGGCAAACGTTTGTTGAATAAACAGAGCCATTAAACAGAATTTAAAGGTAGAGTCCTGACTCTACACCTTATACAATATTAAGAGAAGCCCAAAGTCTGAATTATGTCAAGAACAGGCTGAAATGCTTGCCCTGTCTGTAAAGTGCATGGCGACTTAGTACGATCTCTCACATGTAGGCCTGTCGATGCAGGGCGTTGCTGACAGTTTTCAAAGTGCACCGGCACTGATGGTTAAACGGTTAGCTTAAGACAGAAAAGAGTATCATGTAAAACAAAGTAGACCTGAAAAACAGAATACATTTTTCTGTATACCTGTACTGAGTACATTACTGACAGCTGGTGGAGTCGAGCTAATAGAAAGCCCAGACAGACCCTGTTCAATCTCTGCAGTTCCTGGTGGTGACAAAGACGGGGGGTTCACTGAGGACAGCTGGACCTTCCAAAAAAAAAAAGAGAAAAAAAAAATCACTCAAGTTTACTTAAAAGAAAATATAAATGCCAGTTCTCACCGGTCCTATATAGTTCTTTATCACACACTGGCTGTCAAAGTTTTCGCCTGGCACTCTGCCTTCAGATACTCCTTCCCGGTTCCGATACACGCCAAGGGCCACACACTGTGAAACTCTCCCCAGCCTGCCACTTCCGGTCTCTCGACACCTGGCATTTACCCTGCTACACACACTCTTCTAGCCACTTCCACACTAGGAGGAGATTCTACTCACTCCTCTTTCCTGCCCATCCAAAAATCACTTTACTCAACCCTTGTAACAGCACCACTTTCCTATTCTCTGAATTCTCAGCCAGTTTTTGTTAACTTTCATTGCTCATGGAAGAAATCAGCTAGAAGTCTTAATTCCATGATAAATTCCTTATAGGTTTCTTAAGATGTCTAACCTCCTAAGTCCATCTTTATCTTTTCTTATCAATGAATAAATGTGGCAGCCAGATTTCTACCTTCCAGCAAGAGAAAATGAGTGAGTCTCTACAGATGGGTGTTGGGGTGGTTTCACCTCTGAGTATTGTCGGCCAGCTCCGGTGCCCTCTGGCACACTGCAACGTGACCTGAATACCGGCCCTTTTCTCTAGCCACCATTTCGCCCTCTGGCCTTCCGACTGCCCACACAGGCTCATCTGGTTCGGGGGAGTAGATGAGGTCACAGGAATCTGAACATATAACTACACTGGCTCTGGCCATGAGCCGAAAGTGGGGAAGAGGAGGGAGAGGTTATATTTCTTCAGAGTCCTCTTCACTTCCTCTAGAATCGGGGATGGTCAAACTGTGGACCATAAAATGACAATGGTAGCAGCCCTTTCTTTACAACTGCAGGATTTTCTTTTTGGATATTTGGTATTGATTCAGTCATGCAGACAAGAGTTAACTGTCCTATAAAGCCTGCACAGAAAACATTTTAAAAGCCTTTAATCCTGTGCAAATATCTCTTATTTCTGAAAAAGCTTCATTTTGATCCTGTGGTAGTCCTCACACACCTAGTGTTCTTTGCTTTCCCAGTCAAGTTTCTTCAAATAGTAAGCACCAGGAAGTGTCCCTTTATCATTCACTGTTCACTTTCTATTTCCCTTTTTCTTGAAACCCTGCACTCCTCTGGCTCTCTTCCCAAGCTCCCTTTGCTGGCCCCCTTCCTCTGCCCATCCATTTAAATACTAGAAATGTTGAAGGCCAACTGCAGTCCTTTGACCTCCCTAGGGCCAATCCCTTGACAAGTTTTATCAGTGCTTACTGGGTTAAACTGCCCTCTCTTTGCTGATGATTTCCAAATCTCTATCGCTAGCATTGTCCTCTTTCTTAAAATCCAGACCTACAGGATATCCAAATGGATATTCAAATTTAACATGGTCAATACTTAACACTTCATCTGCCCTATCTCAATTAGTGCTACCACCACACACATCAACACCTGACCATTTTGGTGGTCAGGGTTATGATATAATCAGGTAGTAAGTCATCTTACCTCTGTAAACCCATCTTTAAGAGGTGTAATAGGTGTACCCGTCATCTGTCCTGGAAGAGAAATTTTCTTCCCTTCTTCAAAGGGGCGTGTAGGTATTCGATGCAAATAACCATATCCAATGCCACATCCTAGGCTATGAAAATATGTATTTTTAAAAGTTATTGTTATCAATCACAGCTTGCATTTCATTAAGATTTTAAAATATAAAAACAAATTTCCATTCTTTTAAATATGTCACCTTATCAGAGGTTTCCTCTGATCACCCTTTTATGAACCAGCACCCCTTGCTTCACCATGGATACTAACTACACTCACTCTCCTTTATTTTTCTTCAAGCATTTATCACCATCTAACACACTGCATATGTATCTCCTGTCTCCTCTAGTAAATGTTAAGGTTTAAGGGCAGAGCCCTTGTTTTGTTTAATGCCTTGACAGTTCCTAGCACATGGCAGACACTGAATAATTACTTGCTGAATGAATGACACAGTCTTTCCATGGAAGATCTCCAAGCACTTGTATGATGATGTCATTTACACATCTCGTAGTTCTGTTTCAGAACCTGACACAAATAAGTCCAATTAATCCTGGTTCCTTCTAATTCATTCTCCTACTATCACCAGAGGCCATCTTTTAAATGAGATGATCACACTGCTTCTTTCCACAGTCTATCAGCCTCCCAATATTTGTTTTTCCCTCTTCTCTTTGCAGAATTATTTCTTTGCTGTCGGATGGTGCTGGTGTGACTGTCAATCATGGGGCCTTTTCTGCCCAAACTAAGGAGTGGCCAGTGACCAAAGCCAGGCCGCTCTACCTTTCTTGCCCATGGCTACAAATCTTGGGAGCTAGAGAAAAACAAAAGCAGCTCACCCCTTCAGTAGAAGGCTGATGAACTGTCAGTTAGTCTTTCCTCTCTAAATGCCTAGAGGTGTTCTGAGTCCTGTCCTTTCCAAGTTTGATACTTTAGCTGTTTCTTTGATTATATGAGGATTCCACAGTAAGCTCATGTCTGTTTACAACAATGACAGTTGGTCTCTACTGTGAGGAACGAAAGAACCCTCACTGATACAATATCACAGTCCCACTGCCCAAAGTAAATATAAATTCTTGACCATGGTATTTAAGGCCCATCACAATCAGGTTCCAACTATGTTTCTATCATGATTGCTTTTATTTCCCAGACTTCTTGACACCGTGCGTAGGCCACACACAGACATGTCTGCGCCTCTCCCTGCCGAGGCGTTTATCATTCCCATGCCCTACCACCGCCGACAGCGGGGAGAGCAGGCCGTGGCCAACTTCAGCTCTTCCTTATCCAAATCCGATTCCCAATGACGCTTCATTTTACAAGATTACTTGTTCCTTCTTCTCTCACTTTTCCTCTCTTCTACCATCAAAGCTGCAACTCTCACTGAACTGGATCTCAGATAAATTTGGAGGAAGAAAGTATTAAGTTTATACTGATCAATGGCAGCCTCTCAGAGGTAGCTGCATTTTAAAACAAGGTGCCTCTCAATCAAAATAACTAATTGGTAGTAGGGAGGCAGCTGAGGCAACAGGAAGACCTTCTGCAAACTTTAAACTCGCCCAAGAATGAAACTAAGAGAAATATGCTTGGATGAAAGACATGTGGTCAGCCTCTGAGGAAGGAATAAAAACCAGAGGCAGACATATGCCAAATGAGGGCAGGTTCAGGAAAACGGTCGGTATGGGCCTTTCTAAAGCAGTGGCTGATCAATGGTACTAAACCATTTCAAAAGGAAAAATGTCTTCCAAAAAAGAGGAATAATTGCCAGAGTCTAGAAAAGAAGGGCTCCAAGAATAAGAATATAGCAGTGTAATTAAAAATTAAAGAACTAGTGATGACTTCACCACCTGCAGAATTTCCTCGCACTCTGATTCCATGCTCACCAAGCACTCTTGTGGTATTGGGCTGGCCAAACAGGCCATTATTTTCCTCCCCCGGATACAAAGACTCTAGGAGCGCTTACTTGTCTTTAATGTCATTTGAAACAATTTTGTTAGATTGTATTGTGACAGCTACTATATCAATGTGCATTTAAAAAACATCAAAATTGGTGAATTTTTGTGCAGTCATTTTAACATTGAAAACGGAAGAAGATATGCAACATTTTCGGTGTATTATGCTTTATTATTTCAAGAAAGGTAAAATGCAGCTTAACTGCAAAAAAGGATTGATGCAGTGTATGAAGAAGGTGCTGTGACTGATGGACCGTCTCAAAGTGGTTTGGGAGGTTTCTTAGTACTATGCAATTTTGGTCAAATAATTCTTTGCTGTGGGGCTGTCTTGTGCATTGGAAGATGCTCAGCAGCACCCCTGGCCTCTTCCCACTAGAAGCCAACAGTGTGAGATAGCTGATACACCCAAAATATTCAAATCAATGAAGTTATTGGTGAAATGAAAAACGTGGTTTTTATTTTATGGAAAAAATATAGATAGACTTTCTGGCCAACCCAATAGTAATCTGGAGTGTCAGTGTCCTAACTGGAGAAACTAACAGTTTCTTTTGTAAATTGAAAATTTTCCATTCTGATAAATATAGCAGCTTCTTTGCAAATTTAGTTTATATGAGGCAGTCCCTCTGAAATTAGTCAATTTTGAATGCCTTGAGAGGATCCTATTTCTATAGTTATAAACCTGGACAATGGAAAATGATAACTTGATCAAAAGTATTGCCTCAGACAGGCCATATTCCTAAAATATCTCTCTCATTTTCTCAAATAGCAACAACTTAGCATTCGGGTGGCAACGTATGTTCAGACTCTCAGGCAGTGTGGGTAAAAGTACTGTGAGCAAATACAGGCTTTCTCTGCTTCTATCAACTAAGTCATCCTTTTCCCAGCAAATGCCAGAACTTTTACAAAACACTTGAAAATTTCCAAACCCTAGGCCTTCCTATAATTATGACTTATGTTCAATAATTCCTCAAATGAAAAAAGGCTCTTAGGACTTTCAAAGCAGTGAAAATTTTGTACAATTTAAACAACAGCTGAAAGACCTAAAGAAGCAATCTAAATCAGGATGCTTTGTTTTGGTCTGACCTTTTGAAATTAGGGAGATGACTTGATAAACAGTCCCAGAAAACTGATTTTATAAAGTTTGTTTACCTGCTTGGCTGATCCTCTTTCTAAATGCGCTTTATTGTTGTTTCAAACTTTTGGTTGAAATCAGCCTACTTCTGAAAGCCAACAGTTTCCACAAAGCCTACGAAATTTTCCCAGCAGCTGGAGAAAGTTATACTGTATTGTCCGATTGTTGGGGAGGGGAATTAGGAAAATAAAATAAAACTGAACTATTTTATTAAAATAACCAAACCAAACCAAACCAGGCTGTGAGCTCTTAGATCAATAAAGAAAAGGGCTATAGTAATACATACCACTCTTTCTAAATATGTGCTTTAAAAAATGAATAGGGGCCTGGCCTGGTAGCTCAGCTGGTTAGAGCATTGCCCCAATGAGGCAAGCCTGTGGGTTCAATTCTGGTTCAGGGCACATACGAGAATCAATCAGAAAATACTTAAGTGGAACAATAAATCAGTATTTCTCTCTCTCTAGAATAAAAAAAATTATTTGGTTTAATAGTCTAGGTCAATATTTTCCTTTTCTCAAGAGAAGTCTTATAATAAACCAATGACTTGTTTGAAAATAAAAACAATCAATTTTTAGAACACATCTGACTAAGTTTAAGCAATTAAAACTTAGTCTCAACAATGACCTTACCTGCCTTCTCCACCCCAAGCAGAATTTGGGGTAATCATCACTTCGCGACAGTTATCAGTGTCTGTATTATACACATAAAGTTTCAATGGTTTTGCTTCATGTGATTCAATAAGGCTGAACAGATCTTCAGACTGCAAAAGCATCACAGGAGAAAAATATTTTTATGTTACTGAGTTTTAGAACAGTGAGTCTCAAACCTGCCTAATATCATAATTACCTAGAAAAAAATACCTGCCCCCCCACACACAGTGTAAACCCTGCCTCAGACACAAAAATCATTTTGTAAAACTGATACTCCAAACAAGGTCTAATATATTACCTGTTTACTATGCGCAAGACTTATGTCTAGTTCCACAAGACCTAGAAAGCAATTTTAGTAAAACTCTTCTACAGTCAAATTCTATATATTCTGCTTTTGCGCTCTCTAATTATTTGGTTATTTGGGCACTGTATTTTTCTCTCATTTTTAATCTAGCAATATATGCTCCCAATAGTTAACAGGCAAGGAAAAGGATCTGACAGAGCCGGGCCAATTTTGTCACCATGAAGAGGGGAAGAGAAAATAAAATCAATAACCAAAATGAGGATTTGATTTAGTTTTGAGGTATATAAGTGACTTCTGTATATACCATACACAAAAATTTGTGCAACTGCTACACAGTAGGCGTTCTGCCTCACACACAGCCATACCTACTAAGACACCTCCCAGGTGTTCTGTTTAACGCCCTTAGGCATAAGCTATCTTGACCAGCAAAGATCTAAATTTCAACTCTAAATGCAAGGCATGCAAATATACTTCTGAACTTAAAAAGTAAGAAGAAAATGTTACATAATTTTCATTATTAATAAACACACTAATTACCTCATTCATGACAGTATCTGCTCCGATGATATAATCACTGTGAGGTCTAAGACCGGCCAGTGCTGCAGGAGAATTTGGCTCCACCTCCTAGGATGACACAAAAACACACTCCAAAGTAATTAAAAACCCCTGTATTTGTAACTGTCTTGTTACAGATAATGTCTGAAACTACTGAATAATTTTCAAATCTTCCAAGTATAAAAATCACATATTTAATAAATATTTAAAATATTTCTGTAGCTATCTGCTTTAACATTTCTTCTCATAAATGGACAAATGAGAAAAATAGTTCTTAGGCATCTATATTTGCATCTCTTCCTCATGCATTTTTAAAAATAATCCATACTTTAACAGCAATGAATTCTGATTTTTAAGAACTAAAAATAACCTAATACCACCAACCCTACAATCTCACCAAACTGGAGAAAACCACTGTTAGAACATCTTTCTACATTGACTGTACAAAGTAGGCATCAGCCACTGCGAAGCAGCCATCGTCATAAGAAGTAACAGCTTACAGTTGATACCTACCAACACGTGCCAAACGTTTTCATTTGCTCCGTCAAAGCTGCAGAAACGAATGCTCACGCCCAGCAAGCCCTGACCGCCCCACATGTTACTTGGGGTGACTGAGGTCTCTCGCAGCTCCAGTGTTTTACTACTGTAGATAAGCATTTTTACAGGCTTTTCAACATTTGCTTTCAGTAGATCTTTAAGAGTATCATTGTCTTTATTCTGTGAACACATAAAATTATTTTTCTCAATAAATAAAAATTTAATGTTAACTATTTTAACTTAAGCAACCTACGGCTCTATTGGAGTAATATTAATAATCAACACAAAGCATTCAATGGGCAAAGGTTTCATTAACATTCAAATGTTCCTTCAAGTAAAAGAATGTTAAGAAATTAAGAACAACTCTTATGTTAGCAACAACTTCTGACTTCTTTTAAATACCTGACTACAGACCATGGAACTTCCAACCCCACATGAACTGAAGTGATCTAGGGCTTCAGTGATAAACAGACAAACAAACTCCAAAATACACCATAAGAAGTTGTATTACTAACAGGATTTGTATGACTTTGATTTTAAAATCTAAAACATTTACTATCACCGAAGTTTAATTTTGGATTCTACTCTTACGTATACACTTTATGTATTTATTTGGAACTGGCAGGAAAAGAAAATGGAAGCAGTATGTTAAATATTTCATTACATAAATGAATAAAGGCCATTAGTTGGAGATATTGATAAATAATAAAACTTAATACTATTATGAAAACAATAAGCCAGCCAAGTAGCCACTGTCATAGGAATTTCCTTTGCTGAAATTATATAATCTCCTTCCTGCAGTACTTTACTACAGGTAAACTGAAAGTAACTTATGAAAAGTGGTTTTAATTTTGCACTTTTAGAACATATCTCTCTTTCTGGTTCTAGTAACATTACTGATATAAATATAAGAAAACTGAAAAGTTTCTCTCTATTTGAGTCTTTACTTATACATTTGTCAATAACCTAAAAAAGTCTGACATTTAAAAAAACCATTTTCATCTTAATTATTAAAAATTTAAATATTTAACATATAAAGTAAAAGTCTCTAGTGATTTTATTCCCATAAAATAATCACTGGAGTATGAGGTACAATTTCTTATTATTAACATTTTCGTATGTTTACTACATTTTTTAAAAATTCATCCGAGAGAGAAAGGGAGAGGGAGGGAAAGGGGGGGAGAGAGAGAAATTTGTTGTTCCATTTTATTTATGCATTCATTGGCTGATTCTTATATGTGCCCTGACCAGGGACTGAACCCACAAACCTGGCATACTGGGACTATGCTCTAACCAACTGAGCTGCCCAACCAAGGCTATGTATAATTATTTTTACAAACTGGTATCATATTTTATAATGTTTGTAACTAATGAATAAACATTCATCCCAGAAAATCGGAAAAATTCTGATTTCAAGATTACAAAATACTATAGACAAAAGTACAAAAAAACGAACTTACTAATCTCGAACCATTAATAGAAACAATGAAATCAAAGAACGGCTCCAGTCCAGCTCTATGTCCTGGGGAATTTTCTTGTACCTGTAAAAACAAAAATGCCAATATGAAAAATGCAAAGCTTAATCAAAACTTGTAAGTAAAATTTTAACACCTCTTTTCTGTAAAAATAGATTAATTTTATTGCTAAAGAACTACAGATACACACTAGTTCTCCCATTTCTTTTCACCTCTCCCAGATAATAAATACCCTTGCAGCTTACTAAATTCTACCCATTCTTTAACTTCATCTCCTATACGAGCTTTTCCCTCTATGGTTCTATTTCACACCACTTTCTACTTTTTGGAGGCAGGGGTTGGGGGAGAACAATCTTCCCAGCATTTAGCACATGACAGAGCAGATAGTTATTATAATCAAGCGACAAATTACAGTTATTTTAGTGAGCATTTATTCCATGACTACAACTAGCAGGGAATAATTCAATTATAAAACTAATACAGGAACATAGCAGCTGATGTCAAAACATTTATAATCTATCAAAAAACAGGCAAGAAGAGAAAGGGGAGACAGAGGACATACAGTACTCTAATAACTGTACTGTGAGACCAAGGAAGTAAGGGCTACTACATGTAGGTACAAAGTTCTAGAGGAAAGATGAATTCTAATTGAAGAAGCTAATCTCTCTCTCTCTCTCTCTCTCTCTCTCTCTCTCTCTCTCTCTCTCTCTCGGCGATATCTGAACTGTCATTTAAAAAGGGGTAGAACCTTCAAAGGTGGAGATGAACAAAGGGATAAGGACACCTGAAAGTTGAAGAAATGATATGAGTAAAAACCCAAAAGGAAGAGTCTGAAAAACGAGGATCATAATACGGTATAACTAGACAACAGGGCGGTGTGGGATAGAAATACAGAATTACAGGTTTTGAAAATCAGAATTCCTCTAATCCAAGAGGATTATGTGGGTGGCTTGAGGGAACACTGCAGCTCCTGAAATTATAGGCAACATTTTCTATGAATCATCAGTTTTCAGTGCATAAAGCTTCATCAGATGAATCAAAGGGCCCTTTCTCCATGACACAAAGTGTTAAAAGCACTTAAAAGGATTCTGTGCAATTTCTTTATTTTTCAGGTGAAGAAACCATCCTGAGACTTGCTATGGTCCCACAGCGGGCTAGTGGTAGAGGTGAAACTCAAAAACATTGTACAACTCTTAGTCCAGTGAGATTGCTGGAAAGGAGGCTGCTAGAAAGGAAAGAATGGAGCCAGATTTATAAAGGACTTTAAGTGGATGATTAAGATTATTTAGCTTCTTAACAACTCAAATGTTTAGCATCCCAACTTTGAAATGAATTAAAACTATTAAATCTTCTAAAATTGCAATAATAAAATTAGTAGATAGTAATAGTGGCAATATGACAAAAACAAAACAAAACCCAAAAAACCCCCCAAAAGTTAATGCAATCCGCTTTGCATTTCTCTAAAATATTTTCATAATGTTTAAAGGAATTTTTATTCTGCTTGATTTATCATAGGATAAATATTGTCAAAATTATCCTATGGAAACAAAGTTTGCATTGATATCTGTAGGTTGATTTTCTCTAATAATCTAAAGAGTTCCAATAGTCAAGTCTGAGGCTATGCAAATAACAGACACATACATTCAAACATACATAAATCTGTAGCTACTTACACAGTAACAAATAATTTTAATGCTTTCAAAACAGAAACCATATTATTCCTGGAATGTGTCCCTCTAATACCTACCTGACTTTTTGAGTTAATAATACTAATCTTGGATTAATGTTACCTTTTATTTATTTAAAGCCAAATTATACTTATCATTGCTTCTGAAGAAGTAAAACTAAACTTTCCCTAAGTCCCAATAAGGAATAGTTAGCTGTCCATTATAAAGATGTTTCAATGTTTCACTTACTAAAACTGTGTGATTTGGCTTTATGCAAATTTTCCTGCAAATGTAGGACTAAATCATTTGTAAATTAAACAAGTTAAATCATCAAAGGGTTTTAAGTGTTAGCTTTAATAAAAATAATATATACTTGTTTTGTTTCTGTATATGCGAAGTTTTCTTAAATGGGGGCAATTATATTCTATGTACAGAGTAGGGCAAAAGTAGGTTTACAGTTGTGAGTATATGAAACTGTTTATTCTTGTATTATTTATTTATTACTGAACTATTTTCCATTCAAACAACTGTAAACCTACTTTTGCCCCACCCTGTATTATCAAGCAAAATGTCTAGATCCCCAAAGGGAAGATAGATTTCTTCTCAAATGGCAGCTCCGAAAAGAAAACGGTGGCTGCTTGGAGTTATAATGAGAAGAAACATGAGCTGGGAAAGGCAGCCGGGGATCTACTAGGTGCGAAATGCCTGTCTATTAGGTTCTTGTCAATAAGGTGTAAAATGCTTCAGATGTGAAGAGGATAATTAGCAAAGGAGATACCTCAGAGTGAATTTTCTCACTTAATATGGTCCACATCTAATCTTATTTTATCTAGAAACCAACTTCTCCATTCATCAATTTCACATTTCTCCGCTGAGGCCTCTGAAAGTTTACCCTTTAGTTAAAGAAGGCGAAAGACAGTGCTTTTTGTAATGTCATCACCAACTTAGAAAGCTGATCTCTCACAGATTTTTATCGTGTCACCCTCCAAGTATAAAGTTTTACCACCGTTTGAAATGCAAAGTCTTCGATACCATTAGATGTATTCTTCCCCAAAACTCAAAAGACTTAACTAACTTTGAATTCTAAAATAAAGTTTCTCTAACACTATTTTTCCACTTTTATGTGCTACAAACACTGATATCTTCTCAGTTTCTAGTGGACCTTGAAATTAATTTCTTTCTTAAATTCATTTACATCATTAGTATAATACCAGCACTACTCTGGCAATTAGGTATCTGAATTACTGCTGGGAAGCCAGCAGAGGGAGCCCTAGGAAATGCTCTCTTTGACCCTAATACACCTAAAAGGAAATTTCCTACATTTCATAGCATAGAAAGTAAGATCTACAATACAGCCAATTAAATATCCACATGGGCAAGTTTCTCTGGCAATATTATCCATTGATAATCTCTTAGGCATCTAATATCTCAAGCATCAGATTATCACTTCAATACTTTCTGTCCTTTATGAGATTTGTTTCCTTCAAACCATCTTCTCTCCCCCCCCCCCCGCGCTCTCTTGCTCTCTCTCTCTCTCTCTCTCTCTCTCTCTCTCTCTCTCACACACACACACACACACACACACACACACACACGCATACACGGCATTTGGCATTTATTACTGGGTCAAATAGCATAGAAATTTGAGATGAAAAGATTAAATTTGAAAATTAAGATTTTAACAAGATTTGGAAAAATGTCCAGTGAAAAGACAGTAAGTTTTACAGCGAGACTGACTTGGTTTTGAGCCATGGTTTTTGCCCACCTATTAGCAACGTAAGCTTGGGAAAGTTTATCTTTACAGGCTTCAGTTTTCTCATCTGCAAGTAAGGGATAATGTCATCTACTTTACAAGATTATTATAGTGACTGAATGAATTTACATTTATGAAATGCTTAGCTAAGTCTCTGACTTATGATAGGGGTCTTACAAATCTTAAGCTCATCTTCCTTAACTTTGCGATCACCACCTGAGGGTATATCTTTATACAACTAATTCCTGGGTACCACACTCCTTTTCTAATTATGTATTAATTATTTCACCATTAAAAAAAAAAGACATAAAATGTTAGCCAGCTAGGAAGAGATAAGTGTTGTCTCTCAAAAATCACTTCCAGATGGATGACAGATCTAAAAATCAATGGTAAAACAATAAAGCTTTTAGAGAAAAACACAGGAAAATATCTTTGAGATCTTCAAGTACAAAAAGACTTCTTAAATGCGACACAAAAAAATACTAACCACTAAATAAAAAAAAATTGACAAGTTAAATTACACTAAAACTACAAACTTCTGCTCATCAAAAACAATAAAATTGAGTAAAAAAATACAAAGGAATTGTATTCAGAATAAATTTAGTATTCTGCAAATCATTAGGAAAGATAGACAGTAAAACCACAAAAAGACACTTCATACTGACAAGAATGGCTAACATAAAAAAGAACAAGGGTTGACAATAACATGGAGAAACTGGAACCCTCATACACTGATGGTAGGAACGTAAATGGTGCTGCCGCTGCAGAAAACAGTTTGGCAGTTCCTCAAAATACTAAACACAGTTATCATACAACCCAGCAATTCTACTCCTAGGTATATAGCCAAGAGAAATGAAAACACGTTCATGTAAAAACCTGTACACAAATTTCACAGCTGCATTATTCAGAAAAGTCAGAAAATGAAAACTCAACTGATGTTCCTTGACTGATGAATAGATAAACAAATTGTGGAACACCCGTAGAACAGAATATTTAGCAATAAAAAGGTATCAATATTGACATATGTTACAACATGAATGAACCTGAAAACATTACACTAAGTGGTCAAAGAAGCCAGTGGCCACATAGTGGATGATTCCACTTAAATGTCCAGAAAAGGCACATCCATAGAAAAAGAAAGTAACATAGTGGTTGCTAGGGGCCCAGGGTAGGGAGAATGAGGAGTAGCTGCTACCAAGTACGGAGTTTCTATCTGGGGTGCCAAAAAGATTCTGGAATTAGATACTAGTAAGAATTGAACAACTGTTAATAAACTAAAAACAACAACAAACGACTGAATTGCAAACTTTAAAAGGTTAGATTTAATCTCAATAAAGCTGCTTAAAAAAAAAGAGATAACCTAATGGAGAAATGGTCAAAAGATTTTAGCAGACACTAAACAAAAGAGGATATTGAAGTGGCCAATAAATATAAAAAATGTGCTCAACTTCAACTGTCATCAAGGAAATGCAAATTAAAACCACAATACAATACCACTACACACCTATCAGAATGATCAAAACAAAACAAAATAAAAAAATAAGGGCAAATAGTAAGTGTTAATGAGGATATGGAGCAATCAGAAAACTGCTGGTGGGAATGGAAGTTAGTAAACTATTTGGCAATACTTATTAATATTGAAATAT